ACAAAAAAAGATAAACAATAACTAAGATTTACCGGTAAATGCATAATTGATCAAAATTTGGAAAGTATCTGACATAGGGGGCTTCTTAATATTTTTGTTGACAAAGCATATGTACTACTTAAAGTACAGTTTGCAGTAAGACTTATTAAGTTATTTAACTTTTTAAACAAAAAGGAAAAAAATTTGAAAGAAATAGCATTTGCTGTAAAAAACCAAATAAGTTTGTTATTTTTTTAGATTGTACTTCATTCCTTGCTAATTTATATATAACAGCAATATTTGTTGGAGCGCATTGCAAAAAATTATTTGCAAATTTTGAAAAAGGAATTTTACTAGCAAGTTGCTAAGAGAAAATCTTTAATATCGCTGGTAAAATCCCAATACTTAAGAAGTTTTTCCAATAGACATTTTCGCAGTTATGCAATTGCGTAGTTATAGTTATATCGATAACAGCGATTTTATCTCAAGTTTTACACAAATTACTTTTTTATATATTCTATAAGTTAAAAAACAAAATTATAAAATAATTAGTTGCCAATAATTTTTAAAATTATTATTAAACTTGAATTTGGAAAACTTTTTTGGAGAATAGGACTTTATCACCTTTAAATTGGGAATTTGAATTTTTTGAGCATTTGAGAACACTGCGTTTGACGGGGCCCTACAGGGCCAGTTTACACCATGATATATATATATATATATATATATATATATATATATATATATATATATATATATATATATATATATATATATATATATATATATGTATATATATATATATATATATATATATATATTTATATATATATATGTGTATATATATATTAATATATATATATGTATATATATATATATGTATATATATATATATATATAGTTTATATATATATATATATATATATATATATATATATATATATATATATATATATATATATATATATATATATATATATATATATATATATATATGTATGTATATATATATATATATATATTTTTTTTTATTTTTTTTTTATCTTCGCTTCCAACAAGGCTGCAAGCAACCACTAATTGGTGTTGGAAGTTACTGGAAGAGAAAAGATGAAGATTGTAGAGCAAAATAACGATTGACAAATGACTTAAAAGATTGCAAATTAAATGAATCAGGAAAGCAAGATGAAGGAAGCAAATTCCAAAGAACTGATGTTCGAGGAAAAGAACTAGACGAATAAGAATTTTTGGAGCACTTAGGAACTGTAACAGAAAAAGGATGAGACTTAAATGAATGAAAGACGAGTAACACAAGAATAAATTTTAGTAGATGGCACAAGTGACGCCAGCTCTTTAGAGCAGTGCCCATTATAGTATTTGTAGAAAAGAGAAAGAGAAGCAACATTACAACGATGTGACAGAGGTTGAAGGTTGGCTGCAAGAGCAGGTCCAACTATGTTTACAATCCGCTTTTGCACCTTGTCTAAAAGAGAAAGGGCATCATTAGAAGATCTGCCCCAGATATGGCAGCAGTATTCCATACAAGGCTGGATTTGAGATTTATAGAGATAGAGAATAGAATCCAGAGTAAGAAAGTGACAAGCTCGATAAAGAGAAGCAACTTTAGCTGATGCTAATTTTGGAACTGGATTTGATATAAGGTTTCCAAGAAAGATCAGAAGTAAGAGTTAATCCTAGAAGATGAAGGGTAGGAGACACATCGAGTACATTACCGTTCATAAATATAGGAAGGTCTAAATTATTGCAATAACGATTGGCCAAAAAAATTGAGTTTTATCTGAATTAAAGTTCACCAGCCACTGTGAGCCCCATGCTGTAGCAGAAGTGAGATCTTTTTCAAGCTCAGATGCCTCCTGCAAGCAATCAGAGGGAGTTGGCTTCTTATCGTGACAAGAATAAATGGTAGTATCATCAGCGAACAATGCCACCTTAGATGTGAGAATATCTGGAAGATCGTTGATGTAAATTAAAAAGTGTATAGGGCCAAGGATTGAACCTTGGGGAACCCCTGAGGTTACAGAATAAGAAGAAGAGTGCTGTCCATCAAGGACAACTTTTATACTACGATTGGAAAGGAAGGATTCAATAATCTTCAAGATGTTTCCAGATACACCATAAGAAAAAAGCTTATGGAGGAGACCAGCATGCCAAACTTTATCAAATGCTTTAGAAATGTCAAGAGCAATGGCCTTAACCTCTCCACCTTTATCTAATGCGCAATAAAACCTATCGGTTATTACTGATAGCAAATCAGCCGTAGAACAAGAAAATCGAAATCCATATTGATGATCAGAAAGTAGGTTATGAGATTCGAGATAAGAGATTAAGTGTTTGTTAATTAAAGATTCAAAAACCTTGCTTATGATAGGAAGAAGACTAACAGAATGGTAGTTTGATGAATCAGATTGCTCTCCAGAATTTTTAAAAATAGGGATAACAGATGCTGCTTTTCAGCAGGCTGGAAAACAAGACTCTGATAAGCACTTGTTAAATAGTTTTGAAA